ATGAAACGGGAAACATAAAGATAAAGTAGTATACTAAACACATACATATCATTGTTTAGTCCCTGCCGCCCATTATTCGCTGCTCCAACCACTTAAATTTATCTTCAAGCTTATTTTTTTCTTCTTCCACCTCTTTCAGTTTCTCCTTCAACTCCGCAACTTCTCGTTCATGTTGTCTTTCACGTTCGTTTTAAACACAAATTATGAAGATGCTGCAAAGATTCTTTGTAGCATTTTCGATTACAGGGTTCATCAACCCATACCTCAAAATTGCAAATAGGTTCGTCGGGAACCCTATAAAACTTGTTCATACACATCCAGTAGCGACGTCCAACTTCACCATTATCCCAACAACTATTCATCATGCATTTTTTGCCGCACTCGCACCTTGGTACATAAAGACGTTCAGCCATTTGTTAAAGCGTAAAAAAACCTTGTTTTTATGGAAAGTTTTACTATTGGTTATTGTTGAGCGTAGAAATTAACTATAATGAGCCCGTTATTTATAGGCATACCAGCCGATATAACGTAGCGTAGTATTTAACCACACTATATATATTCACACAAAACGTAGTATATAACCACGCTATGCGTTGCGTGTTAAAGTTTCTATCAAATACAAAACAACTTTTTCTCAGTCGGTCAGCTTTTTTCAGTTCGACAAGACAACACACATAACGTAGTATTTAACCGCGCTATATATATAAACATAACGTAGTATATAACCGCGTTATGCTTTGCGTGTTAAAGATTCTGTCTGATACGAAACAACTTTTTCTCAGTCGGTCAGTTTTTTCAGTTCGACAAGACAATACACATAACGTAGTATTTAACCGCGCTATATATATACACATAACGTAGTATATAACCGCGCTATGCTTTGCGTGTTAAAGAATCTATCGGATACAAAATAGCTTTTTCTCATTCGGTCAGCTTTTCAGACCGACAAGACAACACACAAAACATAGTATTTAACCGCGCTATACATATTGACTTTTTCTTAAACGAAACAGCTTTTTCGCAGTCGGTCAGCTTTTCAGACCGACAAGACAACACACAAAATGTAGTTATTTAACCGCGCTATATATATATTCACACAAAACGTAGTATTTAACCGCGCATACATATTGACTTTTTCTGAAACGAAACCGCGCTATACATATTAACCGCGATATCCTGTTTGTACTAATCCGTATTTTACTTTCTACTAGGATGTATTTGTCTTGATTTATCCTCTTTATCTTTTATTTTCATGTATGTTGCTTTAGTTATGGCTGTTGTGTTTTTCTCTTGAAGTACTATGTTATAAAATTTCAATCTTCATATTGCTCTTCTTTACTAACACCAATAAGTTGAATGTTGGAACTATCATATCATCATCCTAATACAAAAGGTCATCATCCTATACATCTTCCTCATCTGACAGTTTAATTTTCTAATAATTTTAGATAATAAGATGTAAAAAGGTTGTGGAACATAATTTTATTTGATACATCTTGCAATATAAACAAGTACATACACTTATTACAAAAAATATTACGAAAACAAAACACTAGGTGTATCCTTGATAGTTGGGTACATTAGACAAACTTGCACCATGAGCTGGATTACCACCGCCACCCAAACCAGCTGAAGGACATTTACGACGGTCGTGTCCTGTTTGCGAGCATATGCCACATTTACGCGCATAAACGATATCACCAACATCCATTTGGTTCCGTATACGCGTTCTCTTTTGCACTTGAAGCTTGCGCAAATAGTCCTTGTTACACAGCATTTTAAATGGTTCCGGCGGCCAATAATGCTCAGCACCCAATGGCTGCAACTGCCCACTGTGACGTATGCAACAACACTGTATTGCCTATCAACATAGTTGGTTGCCCCTAAACCAACTTGTTGAAAGCACTTCATGGCATGTGCGCACGGCATGTGGTAAATGGTCCATTTCCCACATGAACACAACCTGCTGGCTTCATTCACGGTGTGTAGATTATTCCCCCGGTGTCCGTGGATAGCGGTGCGAACTTCAAAAACACCCCAGTCGTGATCATACTGTAAATATGAATGCCAATGTGCTCGCCTCCTGTATTTCTCAAATATTCTCATCGGTATTGGCATAAATTCAACACCCCTGTCCATCAATTCCGATTCAGCTCTGTGCCTTTCAACAAACCTCTCCGCCATCTGTTTGAATGTCATCCGGACCATGGCAGTGACAGGCAATCCACGTGCAGACTTTAATAAGCCGTTGAATGACTCCGACACATTTGTAGTCAAAGCTCCCCATCGTCTGCCACCATCAACATGCAATGTCCACTGTTGAAGCTCATGTACCATCAACCAATTATAGGCTCTTTCGTCTAACTGCACCATCGCTTCCATGTGCCTCCTGAATTTGCACTGCTGGTGCTCAGTTGCAGCCATCCACATTAAATCATGCAATTCTTTGGTGGGATATTTCTTCTGGAAATTGGCCTTCAGGTGCCTCACACAGTAACGGTGGTATGCATAGAGTTCCTGCCATTCAGGCAAATGCCGGACAGAACTTAAAATACCACCATGCCGATCAGATATTAGAAAAATACCTGAACGCTGTTTGACAACGTGCTGCTTCAAGTGGTTCAAAAATAGCGTCCACGTCTCTTCGCTTTCATTGGCACAAATGGCAAAAGCTAGTGGAAATATTTGTCCATTGGCATCTACTGCAACGGCGATCAACAGCTTAATATCATACTTTCCATAGATATGAGTACTGATGGAAATTACCGGACGACAATGCACAAAACTATCAATTGCTGGTTTAAATGCCCAGAACACGTATCTGAATATATATTCCGGTATTCCCGGACTCCGCTCATGCCTCCATTCAACAACAGTTCCGGGGTTAAAGTGTTTCAGTGCGGCCATGTACCTGGGTAGAGATGAAAATGACTTATTCCAGTCACCATAAATAATTTCAAATGCACGTTTGCGCCCGAGATATGCCTTTCTTTTGGTTATAGTACACCCATATTCCTGGTGGACGGATGTAATACACTCTTTGATCTTGTACCTAATGGACACTTCCAAGTGTAGAATCAAGACAAGAGAAATCAAGTCTACATCCAAGTTGAAGTGATTCTCATTGAATGTGTCCATTTCACATCTGTGGGTGCTAATATATTTACCCACTTTCCATAACCCTGTTTCCTTCTTGATCGCACGCAACATCCAGTTACAACCCATAAGATGTCTACGACATTTGACCTTGTATACCTCCGGAGTTGACTCCCATACCATCATCTCACGACGCTCTCTTACACTGTACATTTTTACAGCCCCGGCTTTATCGGGAAAATACATGCCCTTTGCCAGCACCGTTGGTCTAGACTCATCCCACATTGCTGACCGAAATTCGTCAGCATCCCTTGTGAGGGCATCCACATCCGGCATACTTGGCAAATTATCAAGGTAGGGAATATTTCGCTCATGAAACGACACGTGAGACTCGTACACTCTTGGTCTAACGGGAGGTGGAGGAGCATGCTCCCTCGTCAGCTCAGGTTCGACATTCACTTCCTCCTCCTCATCACCCTCGTCAGGGAAGGGTGTGTCATCTCCAGACTAATCGACATTGTTGTCATAATCACTATTATCTTCTTGACTATGCGCATTTGCCAAATCACGAGTAAATACTGTTGGGTTTTGTATACTAACAAATACGTCATTTACGGGCAACTGAGTGAGGTCAGGACCATCAAGTTGCTCGTTTTCACTGCACAAAATGAACAAAATGATAAGCTACTCAAATTGATAAATATTTTGCATATAGCTATATCACTTCACTTACAAGTCGTACTGTGTTGACATTCCATGATGGACATTTTTCTGTTGGTGATGACTCCCAGATGGACCACCGTGATCCAACACGCCAGAATTACGCATATTCTAACTGTGCGTGGGGTCATAACTTGTAAAATTTATATCCGGACGGTACCCCCTGTGGAAAATATGAGTGTTAATACAAATTCAATTCAACAAAAAATAAACATCGTAACAGAAAGGAAAATTAAAGTTTACCAGTCGTCTTGTGGATTATGTAAAGTAGGAGAGAAATTATTTCCTCGCTCCTCGTTCGCCCACGGAGATAAGTTAAAATCCGGCCAAACTCTTTCAGCTGGAACCTATTAGGCTAAAATTGCTCAAGAATAACCACCCGATGACTGGGGGTTATCCATGCTTTGCGCAATCTCATTATTGCGAACGTCTTCAGCCTTGACGTACATTTCCAACAATTTTATCACAATAAATTCCCTGTATTCATCCGGAATTCGTAAAAAAATCTCTCAGAGTTTCATCATCTTTGATGTTAAACTCAGAATAACAAGCAAACCCCTACGGAGTCACAGAATACGGATATCTACCAGTTAATTTAAGGTTCACCGAACGTTTCCTATCGCTCATTTTCTTACGTAACAACGATACCAATGTATCGTACTCCACTGTAAGCGGCTGATGAAACCCTTATTTTTCACTCTTCAGACATTATAAGAAATGCTTGATAATAAGAAGAAAAGTTTGAACGTAAGTTAGAATATTTTTTGAATGGATTTTCATAAAATCCTAACGCCTTTAAATAAGGTAATGCCTAGCTCGGGGGCTGAATTTGTTGATGTATAGCGCGGTATTACACCGCGCTATACCCATTTGAATTATTGTAATATCAGTTAACGGCAGGAGACTTGTTGGTGGGCCCACAAATAGGTATAGCACGGTATTACACCGCGTTATATATATTTGAATTATTGTTATGTTAGTTAACCGCCGGAGACTTATTGGTGGGCCCACAAACACGTATAGCGCGGTATTACACAGCACTATATATAATGCGGTATTACACGGCGCTATATATAACGCGGTATTATACGGCGCTATACTTTTAACGGCTGAAACTATATCGCTATATATATATATAGAAATGTAACTTTTTTTTACCATAAAAAACCTATTTTGAGTCCAAATCCACGACATTTAGGTTTCGGACTCCTCATTTCCATTGCTTCAATGAGTTCACTGACCATTCTACTTCATCCTTCTCCTTACCCCTTTTCACTTTCCAGTCCATCATACTTAAATTCCATCATTTTCACTTTACCCAACAGACCAAAAATTTTGATTCCTCAAAGTGCCACATTTTCTGCTTCACCAAATCCCTCTCTTTGGACGATTTCAGAGATAGTCAAGGCTGTTAATGGCAGAATCATTAGGTGGGGTCCACCTGGAACAATCTGTACGGACACCAGGACACTTGAACCAGGACAATGGTTCCTCCCTCTTGTTGGCCAAAACTTTGATGCCCACAATTTCATTACCCCTGAATTAGCCACCAAAGGCTGTGTTGGAGTAATTGGGAACTGGGTTTGTGAGGACTGGAACAATGGGTTTGTAAAAGTGGAGGGTGATACTGTAAGTTCTTTAAAAAGTTTGGGTTTTTATGCAAGAAACAGGTTCAATGGTTGTTTAATTGGGTTAACAGGAAGTGTGGGAAAGACCACTACAAAGACTATGATAGCATTGGCTCTGGAGAGTGTTGGAAATGTTTATTACAGCCCAGGGAACTGGAACAATGAGATTGGGGTCGCGTTATCCCTTATAGGGATGCCGAGGGATGTGGGATTTGGCGTTTTGGAGATTGGGATGAGCAAGAAAGGTGAGATCTTGGAATTGTCCAGGATGTGTAGGCCAAATGTAAGGGTGATTCTGAATGTGAATGCTGCACATTTGGAGAATTTCGCCAACTTGGAGGAGATTTCCATGGCGAAAGGGGAGATTTTAAGAGAAGCAATGCCGGGAGATGTGTGTATATTGAGTGGTGATGATCCTCTTGTCATGAGTCTCCCAGTTCCGGCTGGAGTTAAGAAGGTGAATGTAGTTCTTTTTGTCTTTTTATTTTATATCTTGTTCTTTATGTTGATTCTTCCTTAATGTATACTATTGATACTTTAAATATGATATTTGTTTTGACTGTTACTTAAATTTTACTGTATCGTATTGTTAAATATATCGTTATGTAACGAGGAAAAGTGCCACTTTATGTAACAACTGATCCGGTGTGGTCGTGTTGTAACTTTATTTTTTTCTTTCATCTAGTCCTTCCTTATTATTAATAATCCTTTTCATTCTTTATCATACCTTTTTATATAATAATTCTACCTTGTACTCTACTTTTTCTTTGTAATATTGTAAGTTTATTCTTCATATTGCTGGTGCGTGATATCATAAAAAAAAATGGCAAACAATATAATCTATCCAAATTTATGAAACAATTTGTAACAAATATCCAAACAAGTTGTGAGGTGCTATTTGTCATATTGCCCATCTGGAAATGAAGACCTGTTGTAGTTCTTTAACTTAGCATCCGACAGTACCCTAAATAAGTGTTTTACATTCAAAATGCATATTAACAGCTCTTATCGGAATAGTAATAAAGCACTTGAATTCGAATAACATGTTGTTACACAATTATATTAAGACATTTGACTTGGTAGTTGTCAAATGTAAACATGAAATGCCACCATTTCTTACCTGCCCGACACCTCAAGGAGACCATTCTAGTAATGTGATAAAGGGCAAATGGGCCCTATTGTATCTGTCCAACTCTTCCTTCATCTCAAGCACACATATCCACCTCACTCATCACATCTAAGAGCCGAAGAAACAAGGAACTGTTGCTTCTAATCTTTATGTATTGTGAAATTGTTGTGGCTTAGCTGGGGGTCTAGTTTTGGTTATATTTCTTGATTGCTTTTTCTCTTTTCTTGCTCAAGGTCCTATTTGGCCGAAAGTTGGGTTGTGATATTCGTTTAGTTTCTTCACAAAGCATAGATGGAGGTCGCAGTGTACAAATTGTTCTAGAGGGGTTCAATGAGATGTAAGTTCATCAGGACTTTTCCTTGAGCATTCTGTAGAGGCATACTATTTGGCTTTCGCTCGAAATCTGAACTATTACATGGGTTTGACCATTTCCACAATACAAAGCTCTTTTCCTCTTATGCTTTTTCTCTTTTCCAATTTGTGGTTATGTTAATTATTGTTTTCTGCTATTGATGTTAATTGAATGAATATGTTTGGTGTTCTTATCTGGAAAAGGTTTTGCCAGCAGACCTGCGTTCATCTTTTGTCTCTTTGGTGTGGCTTAGATGTTGTTAATCATACAGAACATGATAGATATCATTCTACTGTCCTGTCATAGCTAATAGAGAAGATAGTATTGTAAGTTCCACCGGTGGCGAAGCTAGGAATTTACTTAAGGGTGTTCAAACTTGAAAGAAGGGAAAAAAATTCTCCGAGAAAGAGTGTTCAATATTGTTATATACCTCTAAAATCTAATATTTTATGTATATACGCAGTGTAATTTTCCGACAAAGGGTGGTCAGTTGACCACCCTTTATAACATGTAGCTTCGCCCATGAGTTCCACATCTATAAATGCAGCACCGTTGCTACTCTTGAACAAAATGAACATTATATTCTTGGAAAAGTTATGTTCTGTAATTTCGACGTGCAAGTTCAATACTACCATAGTTATAAGAATTTAAGTTTGATGAAGTGTACATAGAAAGTTGTCTTATCAAGGAACACTTTAAGTCTCTGTCTGTGTGTGTGTGTGTATCTGACATTTTCTACAAGGTAGCTTCTCTTCTCTCCTCAAAGAATGCAATAAATAGGATGGTCATTGCTAACTGTGTGTTCTTATGTCTTCTCTTTTGGTTTTAGTTTTTTAGGATTTCTTTCTTTGGAAGTGGGGCGGGGAAGAAGAGGGGGTTATAGTGTTTTTAAGTGTAGCTGAAAGAGGCATGTTAGTGTTGTATTTTAAAGAGAAAATAGTAATTTTTCAGAAAAAATATTAATGAAGTTTAAGTTGATTTTAGTGAATAAACGATGAGAAACCTTCAAAAGGCATGTCCGTTACTGAAGTACAAAATCGAGTATATTTCTGAAGTTTCTCTGCATCATGTTAGGGTATTCTATGTTTTATTCATAGGTTCCTTCTTCCTTCTACTGCAACTAAATGCCTTTATATTCTTGTAACAATGTTGTTATTATTAGCATTTAATGTTCTATTTATTTGGCATTGTGCGGAATATTCAGGGTTGAATTCGTAATCTCCAGTCCTGGCCTGCACCTGGCCATTAATGCATGTGCAGCTGCTGCTGTGGCTAGTGCACTTGGTGTTCCTCTTGCTCTAGCTGGAAAATCCTTATCCAAATTTATTCCTGTTCACATGAGATCAGAACTTGAAGTAGCTGAAAATGGGATTACAATAATAAATGATGTTTACAATGCAAGTCCAGCTAGTACTGAAGCAGCCATTGACTTGTTAAGGAACATCAACTGCAATGGTAAACGAGTTGCTATACTTGGGGACATGCTTGAACTTGGTCCAAAGGAAATCAACTTCCATGAGTTGATGATACAGAGTTGCGTCAATGCCCATTTCGATGTAATTGCACTTGTTGGAACAAGGTTTATACGTGCAGCTGAGAGTATAGACTGTGCTCAGGAGATAAAACAGGTATGCACCACTGATGCTCACCGGATGGCTTCTAAAATTATCAATTACTTGAATAGTGGTGATGTCATCCTTGTCAAAGGCAGTCGCCAAATAGGCATGGAGGTGATTGTCGATGCAATTAAGTTTATCCACTTTGGTGTCCCACTTTGCCATTCAGTAATGAGCAACTATGACTGACAGAAATTATGCAATGTGATCATCGATTCAAGACCTCTCGGTATGGTTAGTTCAGGGCCCGCAGCTGGCGTAAGGATAGATAATTAGAGTTTTGGTGTTTCAAGCACCTCTTTTTATGGTTTTTTTTTTTGAAAAATGCTGGAAGGTCTGGGTAGCCATACGAGCTGGCCCTCGGGTGACAAGCTCTTTTACAGGTGAGTGCTTAAGCTGCTTGGTAGAAGCCTTCGTTGAAGATGCTTTCTTCGGTTTAGTATCGTGAAGAATGAATCTAAAGATTGCAAAATTTACTGTTGGTCCAGATGAAGGGCCTCTTTGCGGATACTTTCTGCAACGTTAGCACCGGAGGGTGTCAATAAAACCATACTTACTCCAGGAATGACACTCCAGAAATCAGCTTATTGCTCAAGAAGTCACTTAAGGTAATGAGGCTTTTGAAAATATACTCCCCGAGTACTTTACTCACTTTGACTTCCTTAGGAGACTCGGGAAAATGTTCCAAGAGGAGACATAAGATTTATGTCTGTGAACCTGTGAAGCAAATGACAAATTTGCTATTACGAGTATCAGAAGCACATCGGTTGAAATCCCAACGAAAATAAACGAGTAACTGAGTAAGAAGCGGAATAGAACTACGGAGATCAAGGTGCAGTTCACACTATGAACTTGAAAGGCCATACATTGCAAGAGCTACCTCCTTAAATCTCATTCAACATCATCACCAAGGTTAAACCTTACTTTGGAAATTTGGTTTGGTCATGTGAGGAGGAGGAGCACAGACGCCCCGGTGAGGAGGTGTGAGATGTTGATATTGGAGGGCCTACGGAGAGGTAGAGGTAGGCCAAATAAGAGGTGAGAAGAAATGATTAGGCAAGACAAGGCGCATCTTCAGCTGACCGAGGACATGACCCTGGATAGGAAGGTATGGAGGTCGAGAATTAGGGTAGTAGAGTAGGTAGTCTAGAGTGTTCATAGCAATAGTACTGACATGCAGTCTCGCTTTCTGTTGGTAGTAGGTTTTTATGACTATTCGTTGTTTTCTTTAATTGGTGATCACCTTACTATCTTGTTTTTATTCTGCTTTTATATGGCTTTTTGGTACTGTCCCTTCTCGTCTATATTTTCATTAATGTGGTGCTTATGCTTTCCTGAGCCGAGGGTCTATTGGAAACAGCCTCTCTATCCTCACAAGGTAGGGGTAAGGTCTGCGTACACACTACCCTCCCTAGACTGCACGGTGTGGGATAATACTGGGTATGTTGTTGTTGTTGGGGTTTTTGGTGATTGCAAACTTTTCGATCACACACTCTATGAGGTCTCCATCACCATTGTCAAATGGATCAGACCACCAATTATTTTTGTTAAACTCAAATAGTTTAAGGAGCTAAGGATCGTGGTGATTAACCATGTCATCATCACGAGGCATGGTTTCAGAGAGGCAAACAAGGTGGTGGATAAATTGGCTACTCTGAGCCATTCAACTAATGAAGTGTACATATACCACAGCTTTTGATATTTTGCGACGCCAGATTAGAGGCTCATTGAATGCCGATAGATGGCAGAGGAGAAGCCATCACTTTTTTGTTTTTTTGAAGGAAAGTTAGTTGAGCTAATGCCTCTAACTGGATTTATCTCGCTCACATGTTGTAAAGAAGGTTTTGGTTATATCCCCTTACCTGTGGGATTATACTGGGCTTGTTGTTGTTGTTGTTGGTTATATCCCCTTCTTCATTGTACTCATTTCAACGCGGCAATAAATTGTGACTTGATTAAGAGGAAAAAAAGAAGAAAAAATTACAGTTGGGCTATGTATATGGCTCATGATCATATACATTACATTTTATTTTCTAGGACCGTATTACCATTTCCTTTCTAAGAATCATATTATATTTGAAGAAACATAAGTTTATTACTTTGGAGTATTAGTTTAAAGTCATTTTCCTTACACGCTTGCTCAAAGTATAATAATATGAACTTCAGATACTTTGATAACTAAAACACCAGTTATTATAAGATGTAAATTCTAAAAGTTCTCAACTCTCATCTTCTGAATGTATTTTCTCAAATTTACACTCATGTATTGTTCTGTGTTAGTTTCAACGCGAAATATACTTCTATCCACTAGTAACATAAAATATTGTTTAAATTTGAGTAGTAATAATATTGCTACTATTTATTATACAACTAATAAAGGTAAAATAAATTGACTCTAACGGCTGATGTGGTAATTTCGGGATATAACATGTGATAATTTCCCACTCGTGGGATTATACCGGATATTTATATAATAAAAGTAAACTAAATTGATTGACTGATTTTTTTTCCTGTTCATATCTTTTTTTATTTATTTATGTTTAATTTCTCATGATGCTAATGCCCGAATCAGCTTGTGCATTCCGGACTATACCATTGGGTACTTATTATTGCCTACCGGTATGATACCGAGTAACTCTGCCCACAAAATCTTAAACAGATCCTTATTTATTAAATGATGCATCGGTGGTTACTATTTTATTTAACCCGTTATAGCATATTGTTGTTTTATCTATCAAATCATTTAAATTTAAATTATTATACACAATTATCTGTTATTAATTTCTAAATAATTTGATATTATGAAAAAATACAGCTGCCCACCAAAATAATAACTGATATGTATATTTTTGTATAGTAGGCTAGGGAATGTAATTATTTTCGACCAAGTTCCAAAATGTGTTAAAAGCCCAACAAAGAAAAGGGTTATATACCGGAAAGCGTCTCTTCCCCTTTCAGTCCCCCCTACGCTACACACATCTCTGTTTTTTAACCTTTCTCTTTTGATCATCCCGGTGTGCAAAAATGCAGGTAAGTTTCATAAAATTAGTAGAATGCGTAAATCCTACTCCATATATTCAATTCCGATATCATCTTTTGCTTCAAATTTCATTAAATAGTACCATGATTAAGCCCCGAAATTGTCTTACAAAACCCTAGTTTAGTTTTCTGTTCAGTATACGACTTTGGGATTTTCTTCCGTTCGTGAGTTCGTCGATTTTACAGTTAATTAACGAATTAATCCCTTTTTTTCATGGTACAGGCGAGTGACAGGTTCAATATCAACTCCCAGCTTGAGCACTTACAAGCTAAATACGTTGGAACTGGACATGCCGACTTGACTAGATTGTAAGTTCCCTATGCATTTTTTGAAATTGATATTTGTATCTCGTTTTATTGAATATGGTTCCGTATGTGTATTATTTATCATCTTTGTTTGACATTAATTGACTGTGTTGAGAGTTTATTGTTTTAATTCTAATAGCTGTGGAGGTTCTGATGTTTTGGATATTCTTTGTTCGGTTTAGTGAGTGGGCAGTAAACATTCAGCGTGACAGCTACGCGTCCTATGTTGGACACTACCCAATGTTGGCGTATTTTGCCATTGCAGAAAATGAATCAATTGGAAGAGAACGCTACAATTTTATGCAGGTTTGTGCTTGTTAAAAATGCTTTTCTTGTTTTCTCCTGTTTGTTTTCTTAGTTCTTAATGTGCTTGCCTGCACAATGAATTATTTTATTAGTTTTTTATTCTGACTTTCATAATGAGTGAATTAAGTGCTTTTATTGTACTGTTCTATGTTCTTTTATCAACTAGTTAATAGAACTTGCTGCTTTGTTGTTAAGATTATAGGTTGCTCAAGAGCACCATCTTTTGTTGAAAAGATGATTTATTTGCAGAATAAGTTGTAGCATCTTCTTGGTGCTCCTTTTTTTTTTTTTTTTTTTTTAAATGAGTTGTGTGGGTTAGCAGCAATTTATTTACAGAACAACGGTAGCACCTTCTTGGTCTAGTGTAGTGTTGTGAAGAGCGTGAAGCGAGGAAAAGCGACAAGCCGCTTTTCCGCTTAAAGCGAGAAGCGAAGCCTCGCTTTTTGAAGTGAAGCGGAATTTTTTAAAGAAAAATATTAAAATAAATATTGCATAGACAACACATGTAACTGTAAGGAAGTGTCAAATACTTCAATGTAAAAACTAAAGAGTAGCATCAATTAAAGCACAAAATGAGCATCGTATTCTTCTACAAGATTGTCTCGCTAACTCTTGCAGAATAAGCCCAAGCCGGGTCTTTCCTATCTTCTTTTGGTGCCATTAAAAGAACAACTTAGAATAAAGGATATAAAAATAAGAGGAAGGGCGGTATACCATTCTGTTAAAAACTGGGCAGCATTTCAAACGAAAAAACAGTGAAAGAAGAACTGGGCAGCATTTCAACGAAGAGGAGAAGACTGAGAAAGAAGAACTGAAGAGAAAAAAAGAATGCGCCAGCATTTCGCTGCTAGTTGACGCTGAAACAGTGAAAGAAAAAGAAAAAGAAAAGAAGAAGAAGGAGGAGGAGGAAGAAGAAATCACATACCTGGACCAAACTTGATGATCTTAAAGTTAAAAAGTGTAGAAAACTTGGAACCCTAGTCGCCTCTTTCTCTGTTGTTGTTGGTCGTATGTTTTAATAAAAGAACTCCTTTTTTAATTAAATAGGTTGGCAGGTGCTTAAAACAAAGAAGCGCTCGCTTCGCATCGTCGCTTCTCGATTTTTAGTGGAAGTGCACGCTTTTGCGTACCTGCTACGCTTCAGATAGCAGAAGCAATCATAGGATCGCCTTGCTTCGCTTCTCGCTTTAAATGAGTAAGCGACCGCTTTTCACAACCCTGGTCTAGTGGTAAGAGCGTAGGGCTTGGCTGTGGGATAGGGCACATCACGAGTTTGAATCTTGCTGCAAAAAAAGCATGGTAGTTAAGTGGAGAAGGGTAGAAGAACAACCATTATCCATCGAGTTTTGAACCGTGCGCCACTGTCCCTTGGGGATTTTTCGGTTATCAAAAAAAGTTCTACTATTTCCAAAATCAATTTCAATATGATGAATGCATTCTTTGACATAAATCTGATTCGTGCTTTCTATATATAATGCCAAGATTTCTTGTATACTTTACATTTTACGTGTAGTGAGATGATTTATAGCTAGACAAATATTTATGACTTGTTCCAGACCACAATTTTTGATAGTCTTTTTTTTCTAAAAAAAAAAAACTCACTGCCTAGTTAAACACCATCACATAAATTGGGACGAAGGTGGTAGCTCGTAAGAAGGTGGGAGGGAGAATCGTCAATCTTTGTATCTTTGCATGTGAATGTCTGGTTTTTGCCTATTCATTATTCTTTTAATATGGGGGTGGGGGGGAGGTGGCGGGTGGGGGAAGGTTAGAAACTTGGATTTCATGTTGGATCAAGTTTGAATTATTATCATGTTTAGTTAAAGCTACAAAAGAAATTATCAAGGATCTGATCTACCACAAAAGTGGAGACTTGGGTAGATGCTAGACCCATAACTTTGGTATCGACGTGCATTTTGGGGGAGCTTTTGGTTGGTAAATCTGGGAGATTATTATAATAGGCTGGATTTAGAAAATGTAGATAAAATATGATGTTTGTTATCATTAGGGAAATGTATACCTATATTTTGAGGGTATGTCAAGGAATTAGTGCTGCTCATGAGGTTTGCCACCTTTTGGAAGTATTCTTTATCCTTTGCTATATGCTTGCTAGACCTGAGTGAATTAGCTCTAATTAAAGCTAGTTTATCCTTTTACTGATTAAACCTGCCGCTTGAAACCATTCCATTTCATTGGCTAGAAGATGGGCTTGGTAGACTTGAGTAAACTGGCTCTACCTAAAGCTAGTGTGTCTTTTTTGCTGAGTAAAAGCTGCAACTTGAAACCATTCAACTTCATCTTCTAGAAGAAGATGCATATGACATTGCAGAAAAATTCTTTTTTTTTTGGTCCAACTAGTAGTAATTTATATTAGGTTCCACATTTTTTCTTTCCATACTGCCCCATCCTTGTAGCTAATGCCCTCTGCTTTTTAGTGCTAAAATGTGTGAGTGTATGCTTTTCAATTTTGAATTGCATAGAGCTAGAGGAGCTGTTTGGGTGCTAGTTCACTGTTGAGCTCCATTTGGTCCTTTATATAAAGGTGCATCTGCATTTTGTTAGAATGATTCTATTTGATTCTGGAGAGACTAGT